CCCAAAACCCCAAAACCCCAAAACCCCAAAACCCCAAAACCCCTTTGGAAGGAATTCATATAGAATAATTATATAGAGAAGAAATGGCAGACACTAGGTGTATTTCAGTCCGTATTCAGAAGAAAATCAAAGAGTTTCTAAAGAGTAGATTGTATGATAAAATTTTATACTTTTTCTGCTATTTTGGCTTCTTGAGAGAGATCTGGAAGATTTTTACTAGCAAATTGTAAGTGCTGATACTTCTAGGAGCAACAATCTGAGAACAATAGAGTTAAATAAGGAAGGAGAAGAGAAAGAGTTTCAAAAGAGTATGTTTATATTTTTACTTTTATCAACACTCTCTTGGTTCTAGGGGAAATTTTCATTGAAGAAGTTAATAACCATTAACCAAAACATATCTTTATATCATGAATTCTGGCAGTTAATACCTCAATAAGAACTAGTTTCTCAGCATCATTTATAGATTTCGAAATAATCCAGGAGCTTGGAAAGGGTTCTTTTGGGATTGTATATAAAGTTAAGTCAAAATCCCCAGATGGTATACCCAAAGCTCACTCTATAGGAAAATTTTACGCGTTAAAATAAGATATAAAATGCTCTAGTAACACTGAAAGTTTTCTAAATGAGGCTATTAACCATCGAAAAGTCTCTCATCCTAACATCATAAAGTGATATTCTTCCTTTATTGATAACTCAAATAATATGAATCTTCTCCTAGAATATGCTGCTGGTAAAGATCTACTACAGCTGATCCAGGAAAGAAAGCGAACGAAGAGGTTTCTACCTGAGAAGATAATCTGGGAGTATGCCTGGCAGCTTTGCTGTGCAGTCCTTCATATTCACGCTAAGGATATCATCCATAGAGATATAAAGGCCACTAACATCCTTCTGTCTCAAGCTGAAGATAACCCTGAGAAATTTGTGATCAAATTAGCTGATCTTGGAGAATCCAGCAAACTTAGCACAGAAAAGTACCTCAAAGGCAAATAAAGTTGGCACTCCTTTGTTCTTGGCTCCTGAAGTTATCAAGCATGATAATTATGATCATAGAGTCGATGTATGGGCAATAGGATGTGTCCTATACCATCTTGCAGCCCTATGACCTCCCTTTGCATGATCAAATTATGAGACTTTAATGAATGCTATTCGATACAAAAATCCAAAACCTTTGGGGCTATTCTCAAAGAAGTTGTCCAATTTTATCAGGAAGATGCTCGAAAAGCAGAAAGTCAAGAGGCCTTTCATTATAGACCTATTTTCAATGTTTCCAAAGGGGTTTAGCTTAACAAGAGAAATAGATGTAATGGAAGACTTTATCTTTAGATCGAAAACTATGATAAACTCAAGCTTAAAGAAAGTAACCTCATTTCTAAAAATGACCGAGATTCTTGCAAGCACAAGATCAATTTAGAGTTCAGCGCAATGATCAGTCGTCAACTGAAATCAAAAGAGCATCTAAATAAGGTTCTATTTCTAGGTAAGAACATAGATACTTAAGCCAAATGATTTAGAATTCACTTATCTTGGAATACCAATTTGTGCTACTTTAATGAAGTAGAGTAAAAATTAGAAAATTATGAAAATTCCTTCATATCTTCAATACCTAATTTGTTAGAAAATAGAAAAATAAGACCAAGAAGTATGATGTGGATTAACTCTAGATGTTCTAAAGCCTCAGAAAACACTAAAAGTGATTCCAAATAAGACTGTAAACAGCTCCCAACTAATATCAGGAAAAACAGTTCCGTACAATGAACAGAAAGTTTTTACAAAGAAGCTGACCTCTCCTGATTTTCATACGTAAGGGGAAATCTCATTGTAGGCCAAAAATGGTGTCCAAAAGAGAAGAATACAGGAAAGGGGCTCCCAATAACAATGAGTTGCACCATATAAAATATAACCCAAGGAGTGAGTCTCCTTCAAGAATTTACAACCTAAAAAACTTAGATGCTAATAATAGAGACTGTATTCCAGATTACTACCAGTCGAAAAAGTCTGAAGGATTTCCAGAAGTCATGAAGGGGCCAAGTGTTTCAACGAGAAAGAAAAGATTAGAGTTAAAGCGAACTTGGGAAGACAAAGAGTGAAGAGAAGCTGTTCTTCCAGATATGCAACCATGCCCATATTTTCAACCTATAGTGACAGAGCGAAGAACCTTGAGATTTGCACATTCAGGCACAAACTTGGTGTTTAATAAATCAATCTCTTGCAGAAGGGAAAAAGAGAAATTGAAGTCATCGAAGAATACACATTTGGCTTTAGAAGTTCAATCAAAAGAACAGAAGTCAGGACAGAGTACCTTCCAAGGCTTCAAAACCACCTCCCAATTCCCTCCTTCCCTCCGTACATCCCTTCTCACCCTCTAGCCCTCCACCAACCCCCCAGATCCTTCCTCACCACTACCACTATTCCCCTCAGTCCCTTCTACCAAACCCCAAAAGATCCCCACTCCCCCAGCTAAGCCACTCTAAAAATCCAGAAATCTCTTCGTAAAATGTTCATCAGTAAAATTTAGAGATTTCATGTACAAATTGGGGTTTTGGGGTTTTGGGGTTTTGGGGTTTTGGGG